CAACTTTTTCAGAATCAATTCTTTTTTAAATTTCTGTTTCTGAGAATAGAAATTGATAGAAAACTCGTTTGGTAAAACCAATTATTTTTTTGTTTCTCAGAGAATTTTTGCTTTTATATTCTCGGGCACAAAATGAGAAACACTTATCTCTTTCAATTACTCTCCACCTCTACCATAATCACCACTACCATTATCCTGACACGACCGCCGCCACCATCATCATCGCCGCCGTCGTACCACTAGTGCCGTCGTCATCACCCCCACCACCACGTGTCATCGCCACCACCTCCACCATCACTATCACTACCACCACAACTACCACCGTCACCACCATCACCACTACCGCCATCAACCACCACCACCACCATCATCGCAACCACTGTCGTCACTGCCACTGTCACTGTCACCACCACGATGCCACCACTACTATTACTACCATTGTCACCAACCACCACTACCATTCTTGCAGCCCTCGTCGGCGTCACTGCTGTCACCACCACCGCCACTGCCACCACCACCATAATGCCATCACAACAACCATCCCATGTCACCGCTACTATTGTCGCCGCCACCAACCACCATCCCCACCACCATTGTCGCAGCCACGACCGTCACCTCCACCACCACCATCCCCATCACTACCACTGCCACCGCCACCATTACCATCGCTATCACCACAACCACTGCCATAACAACCACCACTACTACTGTACTGCTGCCGCCACCACCACCAAGCCATCCCGCTGCCACCACCACCACAACCACACCATATGGAGAGGAAAGTGATGATCCGAAATTTTTTTATATTTAATAGAAATTATTTTTTTATATTTAATAGAAATTATTTTTTTATTATATTATTTGTTATGTTATCAAACACAATTTTCATTCTCGAAATAAAAATAGAACATGTTATCAAACACATTTTTTTTCTCAGTAATTGTTCCAAGGCACATAAATAGAAAAGAATTGTTTCTTTTCAGAAACAATACTAGAGAATAAAATGGTTGTCATGCACACCCTTATTCTCTTTTATGTTATATTATTAGAAAGATAAATATTACAAAAAATTAAAAAGATCTCACATGAATAATGATAAGTCTATTATAATTATTTTTTGTATTTTTTCGTCTCATATCTTCACCCAACTGTAATGATATTTACATATGTTTTTTCTTTACCAAATCTTCAAACATTTTTTTGATAATTTATTAAAGGGTTCGTTTTTTCTACAGTTACTGCAGATAGGTTATCTGCAGTAAGCCTAATACTACGTCGTTTTGGGCTGAAATCATGGTGTTTTTGTAATTTTAATTTATTTCAGGGTTATTATAGTCTTTATATATTTTTTTAATATTTCAAGCCAAAACGACATTATTTTGGAAGTAAATGCAGATAACTTATCTGCATTAACTGCAGAAATATTTTTTTGTTTATTAAATAACACATTGGTCTAACTATTTTAAAGGGGTGTATTGGATTAGGATTTTAAAAGATTTTTTTTTGAGATAAAAAATCTTATAGATTTTAAAAGACTATTTAGAATTAGAGGAACTTTTAAGATCTGTTTAAAAGACTTTTTTTACAATCAAGATTCCATGAGATTGAACTTTAATAGAATTTATAAGATTTTAAAAAAACCATATGAATTTTTAACAAATATTCAAAATTACAAAAGTCAATAAAAAAAATAACAAATAAATGAAATGATATTAATAAAAAAAGTAAAACCTAATGTAATTTTCTCAATCAGTAAAATACAATATAATTTTTAACGAAAATTCAAAATTTCTAAAAACAGCTCTCTACATATTTAAAGTTATACTTGTTTCCATACATTAGCATTTACTCATTCATGCTCATGGGTTTGACTAATAGGTTAAAAATTATCTTCTTCATTTGATATTAGAGTTATGCATATATGATTATAAAATTCAATTTTTTTATTTATCAGAGTAATTCTAAATTTGCATATAAAACCTAAAGTTCATTGTAAAATTTCGTTTGGAATTTTTTGAAATTGATCTTAGAAATCTTGGGGTTTTTGTTATACGTGATGAGAGTTTTCTAACTATATATCATATACATATTTTTTAGTATTCTAAGAAAATTTTGAATTTGAATTTTATTTCATGAAAGTTCAAAATTTTTCTTATATTATTTTTAATCGATACATTGAAACTTTAAATTACTTTGCAGCTTTTGAAAAACAAGTTTTTAGTTATTTATTGACACAAAAATTATTTGAAATCGTTTCCTATAGCGAAGGAATTTCGTTCAAAATGTATTGTTACGAAATATAGGATTCATATGATGAAAGTTTCAATCTTTTTTTTAAATTGATATTGTTTCATTGATGCAAAATGAAAATTGATTTGAGGGTTTTAGTTTGCTTGTTATTTTCCCACTGTTTTATGTTGTTTTTAATATAAAAATCACACATTTTTTGTGCCAAGAAAAATCGCGACTCATAGCTCGAAAAATTATTTTTTAAACTTTCAAAAGCTCCCAAAAATTGCTAAAAAATCTTTTGTTTTTGAGATGGATTATATTAGAATCTTGTCGGTTTGTTATTTTTGGGTTGTTTTGTGATGAAAATCGCTAAAAATGTACTATTTTTGAGCTTTGACATGACAAAATTCAGTTTTGAGCGGGTCAACCTGTCAAAGGAAGAATAAGACACTACAATAAAAAAGTCTCAAGAAATCCTTTAGTTAGAATGAGATTGTGAGAGAGACATCCTATTTATATTTCTTACTAAAAAGTATCATTAAATCCACATCAATAAAAAATCTATGAAAATCGTGAGATTTGTTTTTTCTTTGCTTAAAATCCTGATTGAATTACCAACAGATTTAGATGAACTCTAAAATAATATTTTAAAATCCTAATCGAATATAAGTGACTTTTTTCACTCCTTTAAAATAAGAAAAAAGTGTGTGTCATCTTAAAGGATGGAAAATTGTGTCATTTTAAGAGAGAGAAAGAGATAGATAAAGAAGGAGAGAGAGTTGATAAAAAAAAAAGTGTGGGTCCCACCTCTTTGTGAAAGTGAAAAGATATAAGTTGTGTCATTTAAAAGGATAAACATTTTTCCCTAAGGGGGCGTTTGGTAGAGGAAAAATTTCTTTTTATCCGAGAATCACAATTTCCAGGAATATGATGAGGAAATGAGATTTCTGGGAATATTATCAAAAAGTTGTTTGGTAGACTAACATATTCCTGAAAATATTGGGTTAATTTTCTTGATACTATGTTTAGTTGTATTAAATTTTCCCTTGCTATAGAAATCCTAGAATACCATCTTTTGAATAGTATTCCTCGATATTTTTTCAAAAAAAATTACACACAAAATAAAATTCCAGGAAAATCAGATTCCCAAGAAAATTCTAAAAAAGTCTGTACCAAACAATGCATTCCTATTTACCCAACCAAAGAATCCCGGAAAAACAAAAAAAAATCCTTCTACCAAACGGGCACTTAAATAATGCATTAGATTCGCAATCCAATACATCCCTAAAATTGTTTCAAAAATAAATAAAAATTCAATCCTTTATCTTTAGCAGATTTATTGTCAAAAGTAAAAAGAAGAGACAAGGCAGTAGTTTCCGAAGGCAACGGTCTAAAATTGTCAAAGGGTGTTCGTTTGTATGGTTGGAACATGGCTTGGGTCTCTGTTTTTCCGCAGGGCCGTTCATTATCTTCTTATTTTTCAATGAAATAGAGACAATTCTCAGTCTCTTCTATTTCGTTCAACCATTTACCATTTCCTGTTTCTTTCTTTCTTCCTTGTTGTTTGTTTCCCTCTCGTACGCAAACCCATCATCACTTTTGGGTTTGTGTACCACTTACCATATCCTTGTTGTCCCTAGATTTTTTGGTACCCATCTCTTACTTTTTCAACTTGCACCTCTATGCATTCTTCTTTATGGTTTTGATTGTTGTTGTTGTTGTTTTCTTGATCATGGGTTTCATTGATTGCATTGTCTTACTTCGTCTAATTATTTCACAGATAAATTTGGCTATTTTTTAATTTATTTTTTCAGTAGTTGCATTCTGTTTGATGGTTCTTATTTTTGTTGTTATATGTCATGATTTTGGATCATGGGTTTCTTCAATTGCATTGTGCTTATTTTGTCTAACTATTTCACAGACAGCGTGAGTATTTTCATTCATAAAAGTATAGAATGTTATCATAGTGTTGTCACAATGATCGTTACCCTTCCCAGCAAGTAAAAGTGTGATTTCAGAGAAAATACGAGACATTCACGTGCAGGAATTTCATTTTTGAACGTTTCCCAGATATGGGGTTCGATTTTTCTTTTTTAAATTTTATTATGAGGTTGTTATCGTGGGACGGGTGATCTTGGTATGCGTCTAAATGTTATGTTAACTCGGTTCATGCTTTGCTGAATTTGAACGTTTTCTTTTCTTACCCTCTAAATTCTAGTTAGCTTCTGTAGCAAAATATTCTATTTTTGGTTCAACTGTTTTCCTTCCATATAAGCATTATTGAAAAATCGACTCATGTATTCAGACTAAGATTGGTTTTATTTATTTTAATCTTCAATGAGTGTCCTTTGTTGTTTAGGAAATCTTAAGGATTGAAATTTTTTTTTTTGAAGAATTTTAGGAAACACAAAATGTTCTTTGTTATGTTTAATATATCTTTTATTTGGTCAGTTTTTGTTTCACTTTTCTTCAAGTTATAGGAAGGGCACTAACCCAGAAAAGCAAACAGGTTAAACTAGAGGCTATGGAGTATAAAACTAACAGTTTAGGTGTGTGCAACTGCGGAGTTCTTTGGATTATAAGAGAGGACATACACAAAGAATTTTCTGTTTTAAGTCTTGTACTTCTTATTTTTCCTTGTCTGTTTGCATGTGATGAACTCAATGCAGTTTCATGGTAATTGAATCACAATACATGCTAACATAACATGTTCATTCCCACCAGGTTTTGCATAATCTGAAACCAGTTTGGTTGTCCTGAATGTGAAGATGTTTGGGTTCAGAAAAGCACCACCAAAACCTGCTTCTTCCGGTTCAGATACTGAACCGGAAAAGAAGACAACCCTTACTCCTGATAGAAGAACTACCTCAGAACCTATCCCAGCAGTACCAAAATCTAAAGGAAACTATTTTGATGATGATGATGATGATGATGATGATGATTGGGGGAGAAAAAAGCCTTCCTCCACTTCATCCTCTTACTCTTCAGGGGCTGCAAAAGACAGGTACAAAAATGGTTTCCGTGACTCTGGGGGCCTAGAGAACCAGAGTGTTCAGGAGCTTGAAAACTATGCAGTGCACAAGGCTGAGGAAACAACAAACACTGTTAACAATTGCTTGAGGATCGCTGATGACATTAGAGAGGATGCTACAAGGACCCTTGACATGTTGCACCAGCAGGGTGAGCAGATAACAAGGACTCACAATATGATTGTTGAAACTGAGAAGGATTTGAGTCGGGTATGTGTTTCTGATTTCTTTTTCTACTGTTGAACTTTTTGTTTCAATCAAAGTTTGCATGATTTTGAGTGATATCATGATTTTGATGTGGTAAGCAGCATTTTGGTAACTAATGTCATAAATCATAATGTCCTTTATCGTTTTCAACTTATAATATTATTATATACCATGCTTTACGTAATAGCTATAGTAAAAGTATGCAATGATTTCATTTGTGTTGCTCCTTCTCTTTCTGGCTTTCTTTCATATAGTATTTATAATTCAAAAAATTTACATGGTGATCATCAGGGTGAAAAACTCCTAAACAATCTTGGGGGCATGTTCTCTAAACCCTGGAAGCCAAAGAAGACCCGGGAAATTCAAGGCCCAGTAATTACACCAGGTTTTTTTTTTTCTCACCCTTAATCTTATGACTTTAACATTTTAGTTATTTATTTTGCGTAAGACCAGGTAACATGTAATATTATAATGGAATATGGTGTGTGAACAGATAATCCATCCAAAAAGAATGTAAAGAATAAGGAAGATAGGGAAAAGTTGGGCTTAGCTCCTCTGCCTAAGGGTCGCTCTGCTCCTAACACACCTCCTCCTGAACAAGCCAATGCCTATCAGAAAATTGACGTATGTGTTATATGTTATGTCTATGAAATATTAATTTCCTAAGCAACATTTTCATTGGATATTATTCTCATGATGTTACCAAAACAGGTTGAGAAAGCCAAACAAGATGATGGACTCTCAGATTTGAGTGATATCTTGGGCGATTTGAAGGGCATGGCTATTAATATGGGAACTGAACTTGAAAGGTAAAGCCTTTAGTTATACTGTAATAATATTATTATTCTTACTAATGTAAATTTGTATTACACTTAATAAAATGTTCAGTATTGTTGTGTTGTGTGAGAGCCTCCTTTGATTCACTATTGTTCCACATACTATGATGATTGCAGGCAAAATAAAGCTCTTGATCATCTTGGTGACGATGTGGATGAGCTGAATTCTAGAGTCAAAGGTGCCAACCAACGTGCACGCAAATTACTATAGAAGTGAGAGATGATAGGCTCAGAGTGTTGCTCTATTGAATTTATTCAATTTTTTTTTTGTCCGCTGTTATGTTATGGTGCTATGAGTTGCCTATGACTAATTGTGATTCGTTTTTTGTTTTTAAAGTTTGCTTTACACTGCTTACTGAGAGCATTTGACAATGGTAGAGGATTTGTTCCTGTTTGGAATTGTTCTGAATTTTTTTTTAAACAACTTTTTAGAACAAGAGCAAAAAAAAAAAGTTGCCTGTTTAGAATAAATATAGCGAAATCTAGTTTGGGTGAATTGTTACCAAAATGATTCAGCTAAAAATATGTGTAAGGAAAAATTGCAGGTTATAAATAAATTATAATATCATGTTTATATTTAGTATTCAAATGTTATTTATTATACACTTTATATTTAGTAATAACGTAACACTTGAATTTGTGTGTGTAAACAGTGTCACTTTTTTTTTTTCAGAGCAAAATCAGATTCATGTTTAGCGCGCTTGTGGAAAACTAAAATCTTTTTACTTTTTTCTTGTAAATCAAACAACATGGATCAATAGTAATTAAGAAATTGCTTTTTATGTTTACGTCATGAATACCAACTAGTCAAACACAATCATCCATACATAATAATAATAGTCATGAAAGGCATTAAACCTAAAATACTATTTCTCCATTTTTTGCCAACTTTCTTTTGTTTGGCTAACCCGGGAAGTCACAAATCTTTGAATTCCATATATTAATGTAGCTAGCATTTCACACATCCACATATGCCCCATCCCAACTTCTCAATGCAAACTCCATGACTAGTTTTGATGATATTTAAGAGATGGTGATTGGTGACTAAATACCCAAAACCCCAAAAATTAATTGAGTGAGGCCCTCTCCGTTTTCTCGGTCATTACATACCCTCCCTCATGTGTCTCTTGCTTTGCATTAATACTCTCTCATGTTTTTTCCCCTAAGGTCATCGTCATCGTCATCCTCTTCATCTTCTTTCCTCTTACCCTTATATTTCCCATCACTTTCTAACCCTCTAAATGCACAAGCATCACTTTTCTCTTATCCCTCCTCTGTTTCTCTCTGTTTCAGAAATGAAGAGCTCTCTGTCTTCAACCACTGTTTCTTCTTCTAGTAAGCTTATGATCCTCTTGGTCCTACTCCTCTCTCTCTTTTTCTTCTCTTCAGTCAATTGCAGACTTTCCAGCCATACTCTCCCATCTTCAACTTCCACACGAAACACACACAACCTCAACCACCAACACCACCATCATTACTGTGATTCTTTTTCTAAGAGAAAACCACGTTCTTTATGCACTGAACTCCAAAGAATCCACCACAGATTACATAAACCAGTTCCACCCTCACAGGAGAATGGGATTGATCCAAGATATGGTGCAGAAAAGAGACTAGTTCCCTCTGGGCCAAACCCACTTCACAATTGATTATACCAATTCCAAAGCCATCAATTTCACCAGCATCAACATCATTAGGTATATCTTTATTCCACAATCTGCATGTACAACTTCAATAATTCAATTTCATCACACCCATCTCTGTATTAGGCCAAAACCTTCTCCTTCTCTGTCCACAGTTTGTAGTTATGACCTTTCTTGGTAACCTTTTTTATGGTTCTAGATACATGCTTAATCTTCATCAAGTTCTTGCATACCCACGACGCAAGAAGAAGGATATTTATACATCAATGGCTAGAGCTACTATGGCATGCAGAAAGAGACAATCTTTGGAAGGGATGTTTGCTTACTCCTCACAAACCGAGATTAATATGTTACTTTGTTATAGGTTCTATATGCTACCTTTATTTTGTATGTGACCAAACTTGTATATTGTATTGAACTTTTTTCTTTTTTTCTTTTTTTAATTTTTAATTTTTAATTTTTCCTTTAGTCTTTTTGGGCAAATCCCATTTCCATGCTTGTTTTTGGTTTTTATGTCTTGCAATTAGGATCATAGAGTTGTGTGAGAGAGGGTAGAGAATGTTGTAGAAAGGAAAAGGTGAATCTGAAAACAAGCACGGAAATGGGCCTTTTTGGGGCAGCTTTGAAGAGAATATGGTTGAAGGCAGAGGTCAAGATCAAGAGGACCCCATGAGTTTCATTAATATGGAGCCACCAAAGGACAAGGACGTATCCATTTATGGGTGTTGGTCTGTTTCTAAGGTCAAAATGGGCTCATTCTTGTTACAATGTCGGTCAGCAACATTTTTTTTTTTTAATTTAAATATTCATTTGTAGTTGGTATTTGAATTAATAGATATGATATGTTGCTTTTTATTATGCTTGTATGTATCATAGTATGCTTATTTCTTTATTTATTTCTCACAGTTGGATATGTAATTCCTGTCCAGGATGATTTAAAAGGTTTATCTATTATTATTAAAATGCATTCATTATTATTACAACAAGTGGAAAAAGGTTGTTTGTTTAATTGGAGTAATGTCAGGTGTAAAACATGGGTTGCAAATTTCTGCTCAATTAGGTTATAGAAACAGTTGGAACCACTATGCACTGGAATATATATGTGGATATGAATGAGGGGGTAGGCCTACTTCACTACTTCAATGAATTTGGTCAAGCAAGAAAAGAAAATTGATGTAAGGGTGTGATGCTTAATGTAAGAAAATTAATTTCGCTATAAAAGGAGTAAGATTTCTAAAGCATAAATGACATTATTATAAATGTTACATTGGATGGATGTTATAGAATTTCATTTGTATGCCAACCGGAGTTAACTCCTTTGATTGCCCTATACTTGAGATAAATTTATAGACTTGAGTTCGATTTCAAAAAAATTCTGCTAGTGGGTAATTTGTAAGTAAGTATTCAGCTACTATTCAACAAATCCACGGGCTTGGCTTATCCCATCTTAATTTTTGGTTTGTACCCCAAAAGTTTCTCTTGTTATCTGAAGTGACAGATAAATAAAATAAGTTTGAACCCATTATCACATGCTAGGCAAAAGATAAATCTAATAAATTTAGATTTTGTATTAATATATTCGAGTAATTGTTAACAAAGATGACAACTCTTTTTCTTGGTTGTAGTCAACATTGTTTGTTATAGTTATAGAAGGTTTTTTTTTTTTAAGATAAATTTTTTATTAAAAAAAATTATAATAATTAAATAAGGTATTTAAAAACAAATTCACAAAAAAGAAAAAGCATTTTAGTGTTTTTCTCAACAGTTAAAAGAATACCTTCTAAAAAAAATCTAAGCAAAAGCTATATTATAAAAAGCAATTTTTTTCAAAACTTATTTAACGGCACTCAAAAAAAAAAAACTTATAAAAACAAATTTAATTTTTTTTTCAGTTCTTCAAACCATAAAATAAGCGTTAGCTTCTCGATCACTCTTTTCTTTTCAAAATTCTTTTTGTTAACTTTAAAAATAGGAAAAATATACTCTTATGTTGTAGGAGAAAATTTTTCTCTCCTACACATACATCGATTTCTGTGTTACTTTTTTATTCTTTTATTCTTTTTCTATAGTGGGTGGGTCTCACACATGATTATCTCTATTGCATGAGAGAGTTCTCTCCTATTGCATGAGACTAATAAAGCCCTTAAAAATATTTTGAATCATTATGATAAATGAGATTTATAGGCTAAATAACTATGTTTTCAAAAATAGGTTATTAATGTTTCCAAAAAAAAAAAAAAGTTATTCAATCCATTTATTTTTGTATCAGAATCTTAAATTTTGGAGTCTACTTTTAAATGTCTAAAAAAATCACAACTTGATAATAAATAATTCAGAATAATAATTTTATAATACTAAATAAAGCTGATTAGCATTTTTCATACTTCACTCTAAGATTATTTATATTAAATTTAAAATTAATAGTTAATTAATTTACAGATTTATAAAAATAGCTGTTATACTTTTAAGAGTAACTAAACTTTCCCTATTGTATGAGTTATAGATAATTAGGGGGTGTATTGGATTAAGATTTCAAAGGACTTTAATGCATTATTTTTAGATAAAAAAATCTATTGGTATTCGATTAGGATTTTAATAGATTGAAAAAAAGAACATGTTGTATTCGATTAGGATTTTAAAAGATTATTTTAGAGTTCGTTCAAATCCTTTGGTATTCAATCAAGATTTTAAACAATGAAAAAAAAATTCTTGTGGTATTCAAAAATCTAACGATTTTAATGGATTTTCTATTGATGTGAATTTCATGAGACTTTTTAGTAAGAAATATAAATACGATGCCTCTCTCACAATCTCTCCGAAACCCTTAGGATTTCTTGAAATTTTTCTATTTCAGTATTTTCTTCTTCCTTTGGCAGGTTGACCCGCTCGTAATCGGATTCCGCCATGAGAGCTTCGTCAAAACTCAAAAAATATATATTTTTGAGCAATTTTCATCACAAAACAACCCAGAAACAATAAACCGACGAAATTTTAATATAATTTATCTCAAAAGCAACATATTTTTTACCATTTTTTATAAATTTTGAAAGTTTAAAAAGTGATTTTTCAAGTTATGGGTCGCGATTTTTCTTGGCACAAAAAAGTGTGATTTTTGTATTAAAAACAAAACAGTGGAAAAATAACAGGGGAACTAAAACCCTCAAATCAATTTTCGTTTTACATCAATAAAACAATATCAATTTAAAGAAAGATTGAAACTTTCAAAATATGAACACTATATTTCATAACAATACATTCGTGAACGAAATTCCTTCACTATGGGAAACGATTTCAAACAATTTTTGTGTCAATAGATAACTAAAAACTTGTTTTTCAAAAGCCCCAAAGAAATTTAAAGTTTCAATGTATCTATTTAAAAAAATTTGAGAAATTTTCTAAACTTTCATGTAATAAAACCCAAAAATTCAGATTCAAAATTGTCTTAAAATATTCAATGAAAATATGCATATGATATATGATTAGAAAACTCTCATCACGTAGAGCAAAAATCCCAAAGTTTTCAAGATCAATTGTAAAAAATTTCAAACGAAATTTTATCATGAACTTTAGGTTCTATATGCAAATTGAGAATTATTTTAATAATTAAAAAAATTATAATCATATATGTATAGCTTTGATACCAAATGAAGAAGATAATTTTCACCCCATTAGTCAAACCCAAGAGCAGGAACGAGAAAATGCTAATGTATGGAGGACTAGTATAACTTTAGATATGTGAAAAGATGTTTAATAATTTTGAATGTTTGTTAAAAATTATATTATGTTTTAGTGATTGAGAAAATTATATTAGATTTTACTTTTTTTTATTAACTTCATTGCAGCTCGAGAGTCCCGTTTAGTGACTCGGATTCGAGCATGGTTACAAAAGAATTGGGAAGTTCAATTGGTTCATGTTTTTAGAGAAGGAAATAGTTATGCAGATTGGCTATCTAAATATCATTTAGATTATCCTGTAGAGAATAGTTATGATTGTGATAATTCTTAATTAATACTAATAACTAATTAATCATTAATACAAAATTGTAATATATTATTAATAAGTATTTAGCACTTTATGAATTTTTATCAATTTTGATTAATGTTGCGCAGCCTAATTTGTGTAAATCCATTAATAAAAATGATGTATAAATTCATTAATTTGATTATATGCATACACTACACTTTAACTTTGTGTTATCGCATGTTTTAATTCCTTGTATGCATTTCATGGATCTGAATATATTGTTAAAGTCATTTACCAAACACAGAATATACTTTCATGATTTTTTGCATTTCTTTTCTAACACCATGTGGGTATTGATGTTATGCAAATGAGGTATTCGTATCATGCATGGTGGGTCTATTAGAGAAGAGTAATATGCATGGGTTGAGGTATGTGAGGAAAATGCATCCATGGGATTTGTGGGGATAACTATGTGGGTTTGTGAAGGGTAATCATGTGGGTTGGGGTTGGGGATGGGGATTACTGAGCGGGTTTCTTGTTTATTTATTATTGTAATACTTCTTGTGGTTCAATTGAGTCGAATATGTTGATCAGTTTGTGCGTTTTTGTTATATAGTGTCTGCTGTTACATTATATGTGATATTGCTGATTGGTTTGTGTTATTTACATATGCCTACTTAGATAGATATAATACATGGGGATTATTTTACTCATGATAGCCTAAGGGAATAAGTAGAGGTTGAAGTAAATAGATTTTGCAGGATGGAATAGCTTGGATCGTTTAGGATACTTTTAACATTGTTGACATTGTAACTCAATATAATACACTGAGTTTTTTGCAATTTATTATTAAAAAATAAAAAACATGGCACACTTTAGATAAGGGTTTGTTGAGATTAAACACGGCACGCTGGGCCTTTAAGAAAGAAGGCAAGGTTGTAATAACAGATTGAGGTTACCTTGGACAATAATGCCAAATAACTAAAGAAATTTAATATTGTATATAGACAGATGGATGGAATGTATAAATAGATAGATTGCCAATACAACAAATATCAAGCCAATCAAAACTCGTTTTCCTATTAACAAGCTAAAATACTATCCTTTTCTCTTATGGCTTTCAACCAGTGGCTGCTTCAACTTAGCAAAATTCATTTTCCCTGCCATAAACCCTTTTGTCTCTACCTCATTCTCTCTTTCACTTGTAAACGTCAAATGGGAAGGTTCACCTATTCAAAGTATTAGCATACATGAAAAACACAAAAACATAAGTTGGGGTTAATAAAGGGCATTTCAATTTGATGATTCAAAAACCACAGAGGAAAATGAACTTAAACTAAGCTTATTGTAGCGCTTATAATAACCTTTTGTCTAGGTTGGTATCAGACCATGGGGTCCTCAATACGGCTCTTTCAACACAAGCACGAGATCAGTTACCAAATGAATATTGGCATGATGGAGAATGAGAACCACGACTTGATGAACCCAATATTTCAAATCTTGAGGATTGGAAGCCATGCTTTGTCATACACTCTATCCAGCTTCCTCTTTAGCCTAAGATCTCTGAAAACAATTGAGCTAATTAAGATTGTAACGGTTTCAAGTGAAAACAACTGTCAAGGTGGTTAAGTGATGTGCAAAAAAAAAAAAATCAGTTTTTGAGGTAAGACTATATTCTAGAGGAAAATTTATCCCCATGTTAAATTTTAATATGATAAGATTTTAAATAATTGGAATCTTATCAAAATTTGAAAATATCTATCAAAATGAAGATAAATACAAAATTTTCACATAAGTCATGTCACAAGATCCATTTTAAAAGGTAATTTGAATTTTACCAAAATAAAATAAAATGAGAATGAGAATGAGATGTTTTTAATAGTCCAATATGTTATTTATCCTTCTTCCCCACCAAAATTCTTGCTACTAAAATAAAACAAACAATTTTTTTTGAGATAATTACACTAACCTTCTGTTAGCATTAATTAAACCGACTTCTTCTTATTTTAAAAATTATATCCATTATGTTCACCGAAAAAGAAAAAAATTATATCCATTCCCCATCTGTATTTTGAACTAAAACATCCATGTAGCTGGATTCCAAAAAAAAAAAAAAATGACTGAAAAGATGACTGAATCTACTAGTATATACATTCTACACACATTGGAAAAGGGGTCACTTATGACTTATTATCAAGTCAACAAAAAAAAATGAGAGAGAGAGAATAATTCATGAAATGTGCCCATATTTTGCAATATAAGGACCAAAACATGGTACAAAGTCATAGCCAATCACCAACAAAACAGGCCAAAATCCATTATAATAAAATAATAATTGCAAATAAATACGAGAGAGTGTGTGTATGAAAAAAAAAAAAAATAGCATAAAACTTCAGTGCCGACTAGTGGATGTGAGATTCAACTCGATGCCGCGTTCGCTGAGTCTCAACTTCAATTAATCAATCACCAAAATCCCGACACTATTTTTTTTTTTTCTCTCTCTCTCTCAAATCCCAAATTTGCAAAATCTGAATTACTCACACAGTAAAGAGAGAGAAACATCACACTCGTTGATAACAGTTCAGATCTACGAGGAACCTTTTGCAGTCTCCGAAGAACAAAATAAGAAAGCGATTTTAGAGTGACAAGGCTTTCTTGAAGCGCCCTCAAAATGGCGCGGATACCCTTTATTTTACTGTCCCTCATCCTTGTTTTAGCTCTGTCAATTCCCAACCTTGCGCACTGCAAGACCCTCAAGCGTGACGGTAACGTTACCCACCTCACACCGACCCATGTCGTTTTCTCTTAACTTTTCTCCGATTCCGTTCATGGGGTTGTCGTTTTCGCTTTTTCACGTGAAGGGTCGAAATCGTTTATGAATTTTATTTTATTTTTGGAATTTTGCAGTTAAGGCTTTGAATGAGATCAAGGCTTCTCTTGGTTGGAGGGTGGTGTATGCTTGGGTTGGAGATGATCCTTGTGGAGATGGGGATCTTCCTCCGTGGTCTGGTGTTACTTGTTCCACTGTTGGTGATTATCGCGTTGTCACCGAGCTGTGAGCATTGTATCCCAAACTTCTTCATTTGAATTGTTTTTTTAGTTTTAATTTTGTTTTCTGGAACTGATTCGATTGTTATGCTATCTGGAAAAAAAATTGTTTTTTAAGTCCAATTTTATTGCCATGATTTGAGGAGTGACATTGGTGTAATTGGTATTGGTATCTTTTTATTTGCAGTGAGGTGTATGCGGTGTCGATTGTTGGACCTTTTCCTACTGCAGTAACCAGCTTGTTGGATCTTACACGGCTGTAATTATCTTCCTTCAAAATTTATGTTACACACTAATTTTTGATACTTGAAATAGCTTGAGAAATATGTGTTATTGCCTAGTACCTACGTTTGTGTTGGAATTGGATGTTAGAGAGGCCAGTATGGAGGGTTATAATTGTATTTTTTTCACGTAATCTTGCATAATCACATGGATTTTAATTGGTTGGCAAATGATAAACCCTTCACAGTACAATAGCATATTTGAATAGTTGTTGTGGTGGACCATGAATTTAGTCTATCTGGTACGATATATGATTGAAGTCCAAGTACTTTTTACTCTGATGACTTTTAATGTGCATACACAACTGTGAATGATTTAGTGTAGAGAGAGAGATGGAGCATATGTGCATCAGCAGAAGATTCTTTGTTAACTAAAATGATTGTGAATAATATATTCACAAAGGTGAATAACTGTGGTCTGTTTTTGCATTTGTTTATCAGTTGTACAAATTCAAATGGGAGATTAAGATACGCATGTTAAGATGATGTATTGTTCGCTTACAGTTTATCTACCTTTGGTTTTCTTTTCTTCATTTTAAATTACAACATTTGTAACATTTAAGTACTTCCATTTTGCCGCTTCCTTTCAAGCTCTTATGAATTGAATTACTGTGTGGTTATGGCAGGGATCTCCATAATAACAAGTTGACTGGGCCTATTCCACCTCAAATTGGACGGTTGAAGCGTCTTAAAATACTGTATGAATTTTATAATCCCTCTTCAACTTTGGTTTCTCTCTTTGCATTTTGTTCTGATATTTTCATAAAATGACTGACAAGTTTTTCATGCCAATAACTGTTTTTGATTTATGAAGATTATACTTTTTCCACTGCTTTTAAGGAAACAATTGATGATTTTCTGATAATTTTTGTTCTATTATTTGAACTATGTGGTTTATTACTGGCCTGTGTTTCCTTCCAGAAATTTGAGGTGGAACAAACTACAGGATGCAATTCCTCCAGAAATTGGGGAGCTTAAAAGTTTGACACATCTGTGAGTAACTTTTACCTTCCTGGTAACTTTGGACTTTTTAGTCTTTCTTTCCCCATTTGTTATTTTATTTACAATTGAGATATCATATCTTATGCAGGTACCTTAGCTTCAATAGTTTCAAAGGAGAAATCCCCAAGGAGCTAGCGAATCTTCCAGACCTTCGCTACCTTTATCTTCATGAAAATCGTTTAATTGGTAGAATACCTCCAGAATTAGGAACTCTACCAAACCTTCGGCACTTGTAATATTCAAATCCTTTTAAGAATCTCCTACTACAGAAAAGACTATTTATATCTTAATCTCACATTAATTGTGCCCCATTGTAATACTGTTATGTTTGTAGGGATGTTGGTAATAATCATTTGGTGGGTACCATAAGGGAACTCATTCGATTTGAAGGTTGCTTTCCAGCTCTACGCAATCTGTAAGTTCTTGCTGGTGAATTATTTCCCCGGACATTACCTCTTGATCTTAAGTAAAATGCAGTGGTCTAGATATTAACAAGTTTTGTTCTGATAACCAGATATCTTAACAATAATTATTTTACTGGAGGAATACCTGCTCAACTTGCTAACTTATCTAGTCTTGAAATCTTGTGAGTATCGCTTTTCTCTTCTTTCCCTCTGTACCACTTATTGCTCTTCCTCCCTACTCTTTCTCTCCCTCAGAGAGAGTGAGTGCGCGTGCGTGCGCATGAGAGAGAGTATTTCCAAACAATAATGTTGCTGTTTCAAGACCTATCTATTATTCCTTGGAATTTCCATAAAGTGTTGATTGTTTGTTGGAGGCAGGTACCTGTCCTACAACAAAATGTCAGGAGCTATACCATCTAGCCTTGCTCATATTCCTAAATTGACATACTTGTAAGTCTGTCTTTCACCCTAATTCTTAGATAGTTTGCTGGATTAGTTGTTGAAGCATACTTTCTGAATAGCAGTTGATTGGAATATACATTACGAGCATTGTGTGTCAAACAGGGACTCTGGATTTATTTATTTATTTATTTTCAAAGCAGTTGATTTTTGTATTTTGTTACAATAATAATGTTTTTTAATTTATTTTACATTTGCTTCATAATATTTATGCATTTATCCTATGGTTTATAAAAACGTTCCTTGATGACTGATATATTGTAAATTATCACTGAAAATCCAATGGCATGGACACCTTTGCAATATCAGCTTATAGAGGTCATATAAAAGTTGATGCAAATGTGGATCTGCCCTTCTTGTCTTGAGACCTATAAATATACTTAAATACCTTACTTTTAGGCGTCGAGTTCTCTAATGCAATATAAGAACAAGAAACTCGTGTTTTACTTGCTGTCATTTATTAACTCTCCACTGACAAATTATTGGCTTAACGTGCTAATATGAGGTTTAAACTATACTTGGGCTCGGAATTCTGTCGTGATGTGGAAAATGGAGATGGGAATTTCTATGGTTCCTTGCCCTCTGCTAGTTAGACTGACAAATATGTTCTTAGATACTAGCAAGAAATATTTTTGGCACCTCTGTGAAGTGTTGGCAATTTCAAGATTTTTTTTAATATTTTATTTCAGGTACTTGGATCACAACCAGTTTTCAGGGAGAATTCCTGAACCCTTTTATAAGCATCCATTTTTGAAAGAAATGTGAGTTTCCAACAAACAGAGTTTAAGTAAAATCACCTATTATCTTGTTCATTGAACTGAGTAATGGTATGCTCTTGGTAGGTACATTGAGGGAAATGCATTCCGGCCTGGTGTCAACCCCATTGGTTTGCATAAAGTGCTTGAAGTTTCTGATGCTGACTTCCTTGTTTAATGAAAATCAAGATATTTTTTTTTTCCAAGGAAATTTACGTGTATAATTATTGAAACAATAGTTCCTCTTATCATCTCAATGAAATAGCCAAATAGATAATTCAATTTTTGTCTATTTTGTGTGGTCATCATCAATAAACAATAGTTTTACGTTCACGATTTATGAGCTTTTCACGACTCTAAGACTAAGAGTTGATTGTACTATAGATAGTTTTGGACTCTTGATATCACCATCAAATTACACGAGGAGTCCCCTCCCCAACAAATGCTTGTGTGTTTTGATTTAGATTGATTTTTAAGAGAGAAAAAAAAAATTGCAACTGTTTAGAGTAGAAAAACCAAATTAAACACATGACTAATGAAGGGTAAATATTGAATTTCCCAGCATAAGTATAATGGACATGTTAAATGCTACAAATTGATTTTTTATTTCAGCGTTTTGGCCTTGGGAGTATCTCATTTTGTAGTTTCAAATTCCGTGTGTCTGGTTCCCTGTGTTAAACGATGTTTTGGATGTTCATTCTGTGACAAACGACATGGTTGATGGACCGCTAGAATGATTGTTGCAATTATTCCACTAGCTAAGAGAAGCTGGTTGAACCCTGAGTTATCTAATTATTCTAGTCTAACTGCATATGCATCTTCTCCAAAACTGAGTTTATTTCTGCCATTTGTGGATGCGTTTTTTCACCAGCAATGAACTCAGTGACAACCCCATCAATCTCAACTGAGCTGCAACCTGGTGCCTTGTCTGCCCCTTTGTTTTTCATCATATCCCTCACCCTTCTAACATCAGTATGTTTCCCAGAAGCTGCATACAAATTAGAGAGTAAAACATAGACCCCACTGTGATTCTCTAACCGTAAGAGTCTTTCAGCTGCAAGTTCAGCCAGTTGACCTTGTCCATGATTGCAGCATGCACTCAGAAATGCTCTCCAAGCCAATGTCTCTTCAGAGCCATTCCATGTATTGTTTATTCTTCTCATCAAAACCATAGCTTCTTCAAAGAGCCCAGCTCGGCTTAGTAAGTCAACTAGACAACCATAATGTTCACTCTTAGGCTCAATTTTGTACACATTACACATTTTATCTAACAACTGCAAACCTTCATATGCCATTCCTGAATAACTACAAGCACTAAAAAGAGATACGAATGTTATATCATCAGGCTTTATCCCAATCTTTTCCATATCTGAAAACAGCTCGAGTGCACTTATTCCATCTCCATGTATTGCCATACCAGAAATCATAGCATTCCAACATACAATGTCTCTCTCTGGCATCGAATCGAATAATCTTTTAGCCAAGTCCAAGTTCCCACATTTAGCATACATGTCTAATAAACTAGTACTCAAACGAATGCTCAATGGTAGCCTTTGTCGACTCAAATATCTATGGATCCAAATGCCAATATCCAAAGCCCCCAGATGAGCACAAGCTGAAAGAATGCTTACAAATATAGACTCATCTGGCACAGTATCAGTCAACTGCATCAAACGAAACAAATAAAGACCTTCCTTGAAGCAATTATTTTGCACATACCCAGAAATCATGGCACCCCATATTCCCCTATCTTTCTCAGGTGCTTCATCAAAGAAAAATCTAGCTGAATCAACATCACCCATCTTTGCATATCCCGAGATCATCACAGTCCAAGACACTGCACTTAGGCTAGGAATTTCATCAAACACGTGTCTTGCAGCAACCATATCACCAGACACAGAGTACATGGCCATCAAGCTATTACCCACGAAGATATCAAACACAAGACCCAATTTTGAACAATACCCATGAATCATTTTCCCCAAAGAAAAACTTGAAAGCGCTGCACAAGCCTTCAACACATAAGGGATGGTGTAGTTATCAGGGCTCAAGCCACTGTGCAACATGTTGATGAACACATGGATGGTGCTGTTGAGCTTACCATGTAGCAAGAAAGCTTTGATGATGGTGTTGCATATGCAAACTGTGGGTTGCTGAATGCGTTCAAAGACTCTGCATGCATAGATGAGGCTTCCCTGATGAGGGTGTGAACAGAAAGCCAAAACCCTGCTCAGAGCAAAGGTATTGTTATCAAGGCCAGAGGTGAATACTTGTGCATGTGCTTGCTTGAGTTGCTTCATGTTCTTGCACTTCTCCAATAGTACTAAGCTTCTCTTGCTGCAACTTGACATGGGAAGGAACTGCATTCAAATTACCCCCATTCATCTATCATCTATCTGTGCATTTGCTAACACGCTGTAATTTTATTCACATCTATTTGTTTTCCCCATCATACACATTTAAAGATCAGTTTTACTTTTCCCATTTTTGAATTTAACTTAGATACATTGAAGGTACAAAAAGTTAAAAAATAAAATTAAAAATACTCTATTATCTAACTATGTATCATTCTTTAATGAAATAAGATTATTCTTGAAAATAAATATTACATATAAAATATTTGTATAACAAATACATATAAATAAATGAATAATTTTAAATAGATTGTCACAAATTTTAGCAGCATTTCATTATCTATATTTTTTCTTTCAGATTTTGGATAACAAAGTGATGTACGAAATTTGGATTTAATTTCTCACCCCAAAATAACAAAGGTTATGGGAGACCCTAAGTCATTAGTGGTAAATAATTTGAGTAGTGTGACTGAAGTCATAGATTTGAACATAAGTGTTATCCATAAAAAAAAATGTTATGATGGACCCGATGAAGAAAAAAAAAATGGGTGTGCCTTAAACTTGGATATTTCATTATTTCATTAAGTACCAAACTGAAGTGATACGCAATGTCCATCTCATGCAAGCCCTCTTTTTCAATATATTTTTCCAAGAAAGGAGAAGAAAAGTTCTACGAAACTTTCTATAAAGAACAAATCAGGAAACGATTGAAATGTGACTACTTTTTAAATGCATTCCAGCTTGTTATATAGTTTTTTTTTTTTTTTTTTTTTGGGTGTGTGTGTGTGTGTGGGGTGCATCCAAATATGCTGAAGACATAATAGAAAGCGATGGTTTATTCCATCCTTATTTGAGGTTGTGTTTGCTAGAAAACTCAAATTGAGATTCGTCAAGCAGAGAAATATGAATTGGAAAATGTGGTCAAGAAGTTCAAATAAGAAAAGCCAAGTATTCAATGAAGAAAAGAATACATGTTTTCCCTCACAAGGCACTTTAAGAGTTCCAAACCAGATATCACATGCAAAGTATATTTCACCTACCTTTCCTTCCTCCTAATAGCAGCTCATGACAAAACCAAATAAAGTTTCCTTTCCAAGGTTTCTTCTCTTTCAAATAAGAGCACCTATCGGTAAACTTGAGAACAGAATTTGTCCTGTACAATGGAGAATATATTGAATCAAATGAGGTTAGTTCTCGTGGCTTTTCACTCTAAACATCTTGGATGGTAAACATGTATTGCAATTTCATGCAAATCATATATCTGGATGAACTGAAATCTTAGGAGAGGTTTCTGTTTTCTATGTACCATATATATGACTATGGTAACAAGATTTCATTAGCTATGTTATCAAGGTTAGTTTGCAAAAAATTGAATATATGAAGCCCTTTGAGAACTCAGTTGTCTAATCAACAATATTATTATACATAAGATTATCTTCGTTTCTCTTTTACACGGTCTCTTTGCTTTCTGACAATAGTTGGATGCTTGCATAAACTAATAGTAGCTGAATAAAGTAATTTCTTTCTTCAACTAATATATTTTTACTTAGTGTATAAAACCACAAACAACTAAAGGCCCTCATAATTATCATCCATTTACATAATACTTTGGTTAGGGTGAAATTTACTGGTGCGGAGGAGGACAAAGCTGGTCTTGGTGGCACCAGGGATCTGAAAGTACCAATACAGAAAACTCAATCTTTCAAAGGTAACGTTTTAATCTCATTATCTGTATTAGCCTATTAGGTAAGACATGTGTCATCATGAAGAGGAAAAAGGGAAGGAGTTGAGAATTTGTGATATGCTGTAACCATTAACCATAACAAGGGACAAAAAAGAAAGAAAGAAAAAAGGATATATTCCATTTGACCAAAGATTGAAACACATCAATGAGACTATTCTCTTACATTTTTATCAGTTTTTGGCTAAAAAATCAATGAGGCAATTTGTTAAAAAACTCTCGGTGACAATTTTCTGCAGAAAAGAAAAAGGTCCAGAATTGGTTCCAGAAACTGTTTGCAAGGAAAACGAGTCCTGATTATGACTCCACAGGAATGGAGCATGCTGCTGCAGTAGCTGCTGCTACATTTGCAATTAATTTGAAAGAGTCCTTTGAACAGAAAAGTGAGACCCCGGAAGCCTCATTGACCAAGACCAAAAGCAAGGTGGATGGCACAAAATCTCCAATTTCACTACTTGGTAGTGCATCCAAGCGATTCTCAGGTAAGGATGAGAACATAAAACACCACTAATTAAAATATTTACAATTCTAATATATAGTGAACTTATAATGCATCATGTTCAGGTTCATTCAGATATAAAGATGATCAAGTTAAAAAGGTGCCAATATCCTCAGTTACAGATGAAGATGAAAAGAAGCCAGAAGAGGTCATTACCCCTACACCATCAATGAAAAGGACTTCAACTTTATCTGATAAAAAACCTGAGACCCCAACACCAAAAGTTCCTCCTCCACCACCACCTCCTCCTCCTCCTCCACCAATCAGGCAGACTTCAACTCCTACAACTGGTACTGAAACACAGACTCCAACCAGACCAAGCATTGGAGATACAAAAGCAGATGAATGGGAGAGAACCGAGCTCGAAAAGATCAGAGAAAGGTACTTGGATGTTATATTGCATTGAATTTCTACCAAAGAAACTTTTCTCAATCAAAACTTGAATAAATACTACCATCCCTTGATTCATGCATTGCATGCAGTTTATATACTCATGACAAAAAAAACTGTCAGGTACGAGCAGTTGAAAGAGACAATAGATTCATGGGAAAACAAGAAAAAGATGAAAGCCAGATTCAAGCTAACTAAGGAGGAGGTTTGACACTGCCATTCTTTATACCTAACTGAAATTAGACTTAATTTAGTTTTGGAGGATTCTATTGTGCAATACACATTCTAATAGTATATATCATGCTTCAAGTTGTTTGATGAATGGACTTATTGTGCTGAAGCTGGTTGCTCCTCCCCACATATACTTTGATAGGAGACAGCATATCAGAATGTGATTCATCAAACTGCTTATAACATGATATCTCTTCAAATGTGAAGCAAAATAGAAACCTTAGTCCTTATATTTTCAGCTCGTATTAATATAGTCCTTATTTTTTAAAACGTTTTAAATTAAATCATTTACTTAACCATATATGTTCAATGTAGTCACTGTAATCAAATGTCATCTAAATCGAAAATTGACAGAGCTGAAAAATGTTCTAGGGAATAAAAATTTAGGCCATAAAATTATGGGCTTGCAATTTCTCATGTTGTATGAAAAATTTAAGTTTTTTACAGAAAGAAAAAGGGGTGGGACTCACTTTAAATAAAAAAATAAAAAATAAAAAAATGATTGACATAGACATCAAAGTGAAAGTGGTAGGAGAAGAGACTTGTCATGCAACTATGAAGTGCTTAATCTCGAACTTGTGAAACTGCAGAGTAAACTTGAGCGGAGAAGGCTGGAAGCTTTGGAGAACTTTCGAGTTAAGATGACATATATAGAACAAATTGCACGAGGAGCGAGAAACAAGGCAGAAAAAAGCCGAAAGAATGAAGAGCTGAAAGCAAATGAGAAGGCAAAGGAAATTCGAAAAACAGGCAAGCTACCAGGGATTTTTTTCTGCTTCTGAGATCACCAATTATGTAACATTACTGGGTTTGATATCTAAGTATTTGTTTGGTGGTTCAATCTATAACTCTTAGTCTCCATTTCTAGGTAAACAAGACTTCTTCCGATAAAAATTGGAAAAATAAAAACTCTAAACTTAAACCCTACTTCTTGTGTAAATTAGTTCCAGTTTTTCTTGCTAAAGGTTTCCGTTTTGCTACACATTACCACCACAGTTCGAGCGTCAACTTTATTTTAAGAGAATAACAAATTAATCATATTATGGTTCAGAGGTTATGTGCTTAATCAAGCTACTGCTCCCTTCAGTTCTCACTTTCAGCACTTAAGACGTGTTAAAGTGGAAAGAAAGCCGCACACATTGGAATTTGACATCACTAGAACGAAAAAATAATAATTAAAAAAATGTATCTAATTTAAGAGAATCCAGATAAGAAGCATGGATCGGATACCAAAATTGCTATATCCACCCTGTTTATGCACATAACTAAAGTCGAAACTGCAATTATCCTACAAATAGAAATTCATATTAGAAACTCCTAACTTTGATCCCTTGCCCCTGTGCCGTCTGATATAGGTGCTAAGTACCTGCACCATAACCACACCTCTCCAACAGGCTAGGGTATGAAACTACAACCTACGTCAAAAGTATCCTATTAATTATCTACAAGTGGTATTGATTTTAGGTTAAACTATACTTTCCTCCCTTGAAAGATGCCCAATTCACTGTCCTCCCTTCAATTTTGAAAAATTGTACTCTCCTTTCGTGAGAGATAGATAAATTTTTTAACATTTTAGTCCCTTTTAATGTAAACAAACTTAGTAGTAATGAGAAACAATGAATGAGCCACCCATGGCTATTTTTCCTCTCTATGCATCTCTCAGTGTTATTGACAGCTAATTTTGAAGGCCCTATTATTGACTTTAGGACTTCAGAAGATGAAATGAAGTTTAATGCAATCCAAAATCTTCATCTTCTAAAGTCTCAAAGTCCACGGTAAGGATTGAAAACTAGCAGCAGATGACATGGAGATAGAAAAACTATCCTGAAAAGGCTCGTTCAGATTAAAAATAACTAAAGCGTAGCACATTTAATCTCTCAAGGAAAGGGAGTGTACTTTAAGCATCTCTTGGGAAGTGTAATTTACCCTTGATTTTATATGAAAATGCATGGGCATGATCAAAAATGCTGAAACAAGAGACAATCCCCTATACAAGTTATTAGTTTGAGATACAAAATGAAGCATATGACAATTTTTCAAACCATTTTGGTAATGAACAAGAAAAACATAAGCCAAAATGATATGTAGGATCAACTCCAAGTCAAGCCTGGACTTAGATATTGCATGAAACATATTTTCAACAAGTAATCACATAAACATAGTCATTTTAAAATTTTCAGTATGTCAAACTGGTTCTCTGTACAATAGTTAATCACCCACTTCAGGAGGAAAACGAATTAAAAATCAAATTACAACGGCCACAAAATAAAGTTCCTCTCAAGATTTTCAACTTAAAGTTCATATGAAAAAGGCATAAAAATTAAAAAAAAGAAAAAAGAAACATAGAGATATTAAAACCTAAAAATAACTAAAAACGAAATTAAGGTAGAACAATCAATACAAAGGTATACAGTGAATTTGTAGAAGTTGGATTGGCATGCTGCAATTGTCTGTTGAAGGGAGGCTACATCTCAAGAAGTTATTTCTGTTATCAGCCTCTGGATCGTAGGGCATGCAAAGTACAAGACAAGGAATGATGGGATAGCAAAAAGAATAGTGACTAGCAAGTAAAGGATTAAAATAACAACACTGCAGGGAATGGCAAAAAAGGCTATCAGAAGGAAAATGATGACCAAGGGGAACTTGGATGTAAAGTGAATGAAGAAATCCAGAGATTTGTGAAGGGAAAAGTAGTGTCTCTCTCCATCACTGACACCAACATCACTGTTAGATCCCAACAGTCTAGAACGATGACTTACTGAGGCCCTTCTAAGATTACAATTAGTAGCTTGACTTCCCAGAAGGTTGCACTTGGGAGACCAAATTGGTTGGCTGTCCACACAAGTTGAAACGATCTTATGTCTATCACCATTCAGGCTCTCAACCATCCAAAGAAGGAAGTAGTTCTTGCAAGGATATTTAAGATTTCCCTTGTAAACAAATCGTACTGATAACATGTGGCACCATGGACAAGAAATGAAGAACGGAATCTTGATTCGTTGAGTAGGAAATTTCATCATAGCCCACTGAAGTCCTAGGATGCAATTTTTACAGAGGGTGTGACCACACCATAAGACGTAAGGCACGTTCTCAACTATGTTGAAGGATTCCCAACATATTGGGCATTCCAGCCCTTCATCTCTGCTGCCATTAGAGCAGACCTCATCATCTGAGCACTCTGCACAACTTTGACTGAGCTCTTTGGAGCTTCTTTTCACTCTAAGGCATGTAAGGGCATTTGATGCAAAATTCCACATAATGAAAAATGAACAAATTTACAATGCAAAGGCAGTAATCACTGAAATATCAGCATATAAGCCATTGTTCAACAAAAGAATCACTTTCCCGTGAAACTGAGCCACTGCAGTTACTCTTTCCCTGTTGACTACCAAGCCCTTTCAATCTCAATCAAAATCTACACAAAAAATGGTATTATTAGCAAGCAACAAATCTAAAATATGAAAAAATAAAAATACCGATGCAGTTGTTGACAGTTCTGTATCGTCATTCCTAAGAAGCATAATCAGTAAGAAAAATATGATTAAATTCATTCCGAAATTTCAATAAACCAGACCAAGTCTTTATCAGAAATTGTCAAGTTACAGCCACGAAAGAGTATCATATCATCGCACCATGCCACTACAAAATATAGTTCTAAAAAACGAAATCGGCTGCGCAGAAAGAAAGAGTTTATATGGTGAATCCTTGCATTATTCTGGGGAAAATGTCAAAAACTAAAAAAACTGAATGAGTTACATAGCGTGTGTGCTGTATGGCATAGGTGACTAGGTCCAATCAACATTACCATACCGCAAAACCATAATCCTGCCAGTACACCAGCTTTTAAATTACATATTAGGTGTTTGTTTCACATTGCAAACATGTCGTTTTCAGTTCAGAAGAACACAATGAACACAATCCCCATGATTGATCAACAGCTTTTAACTCAACAAAGAGTAATCTCGTTTCTAACACATTATCAATGAGTAAAACTTTTGAAATAGCATCATAAGCTTCTCTGTACAAACTTCATTCCCAATCGTAACGATAAGTTAAGATTAAACAAACAAAACGTCGAGATCTATAAATGAAAGTATAATTCGATTAACAAGACCTAATTCACATTATCTTCTTCTTATTCCGCCAAAACTAACCAAATAGTGAAATCAAAAGCTAGGCACGGGACCTGAAATCCAGATTGTAAAGGTTAAAACGCAAATTGCAAGGAAAAATCTCACCGTCAGCGTAAAGTGTGGGATTTGAGAGCCAATCGAATGCGTTTTCACTTTCGAGTTTCGCGATGAAACAAAAATTTCAAAGAATCTGAAAAGGCGGAGAGGAAAGAGTAGAGATCGATAGAGGAAGATCGGTCTCTCTCTCTCTCTCTCTCTCTCTTCAGCTGTTGCGAATGGCATGAACAAGCGGAAGAGGAAGAAAGTGGTGAATTATATGAGGAGAAGGGGGGAAACGACGTCGTAAGAGGGGTTTTTGTTAGTTTCGGTTTGAGAAGTGAAAACTGAAAAGAGAACGAGGCTGGCATTGCCTAATTCTAATTGGTCAATGGTCACAGCTGAAACGAATAAGAAACAGAACATAACGGAGTTGCCGGTCAATTCTGCGTATTCCACGGATTTATAATATTTGTACTCTTAACTACTAGTGAAAGTAATTTTTTAGAAGGAAGATATTTTGACTACCAAAAGTTTTCACTATCACCTTACTACCTATCTAATCATCATTGGTTTAACATTTTCTCTCTCTTCAAATTTTTTTTAACATTCTCTCTCTTTGATCCAATAGTGATTTGATAGGTAGTAAGGTGGTAGTGGACACTTTTGGTAGTCAAAATATCCCCCCTCATTTTTTTAATGAAAAATTGTTTTTCATCTTCAATGACATAGGGTGCGCATGACAACTTTCCCGGAATAATTTTTTTTTTTTTTAATTTCTCTTCCCGGGAACAAAAATGGATAAAAAACTCATTTGGTAAAACCGGTTTATTTTTTTGTTCCCGGGATGAACCAGATTAATTTTTATGCTGGGGAACAGAAAAAATAATCAAAAAAATTCTGCTTTTTATTTTCGGGCACAAAAAGAGAGACACACATCTCTCTTAGTTACTCTCCATCTATACCAACACCACCACCACCACCATCTTCCCAATACGACCACCGTCATCATCGTCGCCCCCGCCGTCGTACCATTAGTGTTGTCGTGAGCACCCCCCACCACATGATGTCACCGCCACCATCACCACCACCTTCACCCATCACTACCACGACAACTACCACCGCTGCAACCACCACCACCACTATCACCGTCACCGCCACCACCACCATCACCACCACCACCATCATCGCAATCACTGACGCCACCGCCACCATCACCACGCCACTACCACCACCACCATCGCCACCACTACCACCACCACAACGTCGCCGCTACCATCACCACCACTATCATTGCTGCAGCCACCACCGACACCGCCACCAACCACCACCACAATCGTCGCAGCCACTATCGTCACCACCACTACCATCGTCACAGTCACTACCGTCACCATCGCCACCATTACACCACCACCACTATCACCTACCACCACCGTCACCCCCGCAACCACCACCACCACCACCTCCATGATGCCATCACAACCACCACCACCATGCCACCGCTACTATTGTTGCCGCCACCAATGCCACCAACCTCATATGCCACCAACCCCCATCCCCACTACCATTGTCGCAGTCACTGCCGTCACCTCCACCACCACCATCCCCACCACTATCACCGCCATCGCTACAGCCATTGCCGTCACAACCACCACCACGTCACCGCCGCCACCACCACCACCACCATGCCACCCGCCGCCACCACCACAACCACACCATATGGAAAGGAAAGTGATGATCCGAATTTTTTTTTACATTTAATAGGAATTATTTTTATTATATTATTTGTTATGTTATCAAACGCAATTCTCATTCTATGAATAAAAATAGAACATGTTATCAAACACATTTTTTTTCTCAGAAATTGTTCCAAGGAACAGAAATATAAAAGAATTGTTTCTTTTCAGAAACAGTGCTAGAGAATAGAATGGTTGTCATGCACACCCATAAAGTTATGTCAATTAAAGAGAGAGAGACAGATACATAATAATATTTTTTATTTAAAATTTAAATTAAAAAATCACTTATTTTCTCTCCCATGAGTTTTATTCCTGATGTCTATCTCTCTCCTAAAATAATATAACTTATGTCATTTAAAATGACAAACATCAAACTCTTTTTTTAAATCAAAGACGAAATGAATACTTTATTTTCAAAAAATAAAACAAATAACATACAGGGTTTGTATTTGTCATTTAACATGACACAACAAACTTTTTTACACACAACATTTTGTGGGGCCCACACTTTTTGAAGAAAAAAAGAAAATTACGGCACGCAAAACGAACCACTATAACATTACACAATCATTTTTCCTACAACATAACCGTTATAAGACCCATAACATAAATGCAATAAAAACAAACGGGGTAAGGGGAAAATATATGTAATGGGTAGCTTAGTTTTGTTCTTAAGAAATTCCTTGAGCTTATTTTTTTTGTTTTTTACTTACGTCGATTTTTTTATTTACAGTGATTTTGATTAGCCCTTTTTTTATCGTAACTCAGAGGGAAAATGTGCAATGGTCTCTCTCTTAGCCAGTGGTGGAGCGAAAGGAAATTAGGAACCGACTACGATAAAGGCTATTGTTCATATGGTGTTTAAGTAATTATTATTGGATGTAAATGCAGATGCTGATAAACCTACATATAAAGATAAAAGGAGCCATGTCACTCTCTCTTCAGTTATAAAGTTGAAAGAACCCACGTGATGTATATTGTATTTAATCAGTTAGATTTTTTTTATTTTTTTTTGGAAATAATAGGAAATTAAAACAAAAACATAACAAAAAGAAACTAGGCACAAAGCCTAGACCAATGAACACCTATAGTGTCACCATACAGACGATCAATACAACCTGACGGTGGACTATCAAATTCCTGAATTACCCAAGAGAAACCATAAGAGTAAGAGGCTAGAAAGTCCACTACTCTATTTCCTTCACGGTGAATGTGAGACATATAAATCTATCAATCTCGCTGCATCAAATTTCGAATACGATTCACCAAATTAGCCGCAGGGTAATCATGGTGGCACCTATTTGTAATGAGCTGTTGAGCTGAAAGAGAATCTCCTTCGAGCCAAACTTGCCTAAAACCTTTATCCCAAGCTAGCTCCAAACCAACCAAGCAAGCCCATAACTCAGCATGCAAAACTGTACCTGAGCCTAAATTTTTACAGAATCCGACGATCCAAGTTCCTGAGGCATCGCGAAAAACTCCTCCACACCCAGTCCTAGTACCATTAGCATCACATGCACCATCAACATTAAGCTTAACCCAATCCACAGGAGGACAACACCAAGCAACCAATCTCTCTATCTGATTCCTTGGTTGATTGCCCACTCCAAAAACAGGGTTAGTTGTAAGAGCGACACTATCTCTGAAACCAATTGCTGAACGGACAAGTGAATAAGCATTTTGGCGATCACCTTCAAAAACCCAAGAATTCCTACATTTTCAAATTTTCCAGGCTAAGATTCCAAATAAAAGAGGCCAGTCCAACCCCATCCCCCAATCCTTTGAGCTGTCTAAATTAGAAATGATCCAATTGTGCAGGTTGAGGTTGAAAAATTCACGCTGATTTATATGAGGCATTATCATGCACCATATACTTCCTTTGATTGTGGGCAGTCGCGAATAGTATGAAGGATAGTTTCACTGGACTGATTACATATAGGACACAGATCTGAAAGAGCCATATGACTCTGCAAAAAATCAGTTAGATTTCTTTGATACAGTATAAGTTTCATTTTCACATTTTTCAGACAATGAATCAATCTTTAGATTCTCTCTTTTCTCTCCCACTTCCAACTTTCCATTTGTAATATGATACCAGAGCTTCAAAGGCTCTGGTAACCATTATTCCACTGTAATTCAAGATTTGCATTCTTCATTCTGTGATTGCATTTCTTCATTGTTCTTTGTTCAAGATGGCAAATCAAATTCCATAATATCTTACGAATCCTGGACATCGTTTCTACCTACATGCAAACGAGAATACTTCTCTTGTTCTTGTCAGTCCTCCATTGGAGGGAAAGAACTATCACACCTGGGCAAGAGTCATGAGCATGACACTTCTGTCTAAAAATAAGCTCAGATTCGTTGATGGAACAATTGTTTCACCAGGCATTGCTGATCCTTTGTATGTTGCGTGGCAACGTTGCAACACAATGGTCTTAGCTTGGATTCATAAAGCAATGAGTCCTTCGATTGAAAAAATCCATTCTCTGGATGGATAAGGCTTCTGATGTGTGGATTGATCTCAAGAATCGTTTTAGCCAATATGATATATTTTAACTTTCTGAAATTCAAGATGTATACAAGCTTCAACAAGGTGAAATGATATAACAGATTATTTTACTGGATTGAAAACTTTATGGGACGAATTGGACAATCTTTGTCCTCTTCCTATATGCCATTGTGCAGTTCCTTGTAATTGTGGTATGATTGAAATGGTAAGGAGACACAGAGATCAAGATCAAACAGTGAGGTTTCTTAAAGGACTGAATGAACAATATGCTCATGTCGTCTCCCAAGTAACGATGCTTGATCCGCTTCCTCATATCACTAGAGCCTTTTCTTTGGTAGTTCAAGAAATCCATTTGCGACACTTTTAAATAACTTTAAAACGAATACCACAATGTACAAAGAAAAAAAAAAGCGAATACCACATTACCTTTTAGACATTATATATAAGAGTTAATGTACATAAAGATATTTTTTAAGATGTTAATGCATTTCTAATATAGAATGTGTAATATTTATTGAAATATGATAAGCTATTCCTAATTTCCTATCCAAAAATTACTCGCAAAACTTCAAATGCACTAAATCCAAAACACGATATAAATAAACATCATCAACCATGGATATTTATATTACTATGATCACAGCACAACATACTCCATAATTTATTTATTTTCATCAAATTATCCAATCAACCAATAACTTTGTTTTCAATTCAAACCAATCGTAACATCTTGCCAATCTGAATACTAGAACATTGTAGATTGGTAGAAATATTTTTTTTAAAAAATAAAATAAGAAATAGATATTTTAGGACTATACTCTTATCATGTAGCAAGGCAAAACAAAAAAAGTAAATACACACAATAACTATACCCTGGCACATCATGGAGTTGACAAGAGAATAATTGAAAATGAAATGCGAAGCAATTTTAACAAGGTACAAATATCTTAAAGTTTATTCTGTAGGATTTATTTAATCTTATGT